CGATTCTAGGTATTTGGACTTCCTCCAGATCACCCGTAAATATTCTCGAGTACTGTGAATGTACAGAAACATCTCTAGGTATTTGGAACTTCCTACAAAAAACTCCTGGATAACCAGATTGCCTACAAACAACCACATGTAGACAAAATGCCAGGAATACACAAATATCCCAAATGCCAAGGGATGCCATGATCATCAGTACCCAAGATAACTAGAAATGCTCCAGGCAATCAGAATATCCAAAAATACCTTTGGATACTTGGAATACCCATAACCAAGCCCGGGCACTCGAGATGCCTATAAACACTTTCAGATACCCAGAATGCTTAGAAACACATTGGATACAAGGCAAGCCTAGCAATGTGTTTGTTAATCCCATAAACATCTTAAGAATTCAGATACATTAAAGTACCTTAACCAACTGCACCCACCAAAAGAACATTAAAAAACAAAACCTAACAATTTCAACAATTTCTCAAGATCACAAAATAACCAAAGTGTACTCTTGGTTTGCATCTATTTCACGGGACTGACCAGCTATTTTAGCTCTTGTGATTTTAACAAACTGATAAACAGACCCAGAAAAGGACGTGTGAGAGGTGAGAGTGATGAGTGAAGCGAGGGTGTTAAGATGTTAGGTTTAATGGATGTTAAGGTAGTTTTGGTATATGTATTTTCAACAAAAAGTAAAACATACATATATACACTTTTTCAACGCAAAAACTAAACCTGAATCGTACCCAAAATTCAAACAAAACACCCCCTTTCGAGGTGAGGCAGTTTGGGAGCATCAAGTTGAATTGTCATCCCTAGGTATGAACTCTACCACCAAGTACCATATTATTTTCAATGTGATACTTGGTACCCCATACATATATTTAATAGTAAAAAGCGGGTCGGATCAGATCAGATTTTTCATTCCTAAAACTCAACCTGAATGGTATCCAAAATTCAAGCAAAAAACCCCTTGTTCTGGGTTGGGCAGTTCGGAGCATTCACTTGAATTGTCATCCCTAGGTATGAACTTTTGCCACCAAGTATCACATACTAGAACAACACATCAGATATCTGCCAGTATGGACCGGTATGATATGATATTTACCATAGTGCAAGTAATAGTAATAATGATAAAAAACAATGGAGTTCCCATAATTCATAGAAATGTTACCAAGCATCCAAAATGCCTACATTACTCGAAATGCTTAGAAATGGGCCTCGATAGTCAAATGCCTAGAAATTCCAGTAAAAATGCCCAAAACACCTCCAAGATACTGGAAACGCCCATAAATTCCCCCCAAGGGCCTAAATGTTCAGAAATATCTCAGGGCATCTGAAATGTCTAGAGATGCATTTGAGTTCCCAAAATGCTAAGATTAGCCCTGAGTTCACAAAATTCCAAAAAATTACCCTCAGATGCCCAAGAGGCTCTTAAATACTCAAATGCCTAACAATAATTTGGGGCATCCAAAATGCTTAAAAAGAACCCAGGTGCAAGAGGACATTTATGAGAATGTTGGGTGCAAAGGAATGTTTTTGAACATTTCGAGTATCCAAGCAGTTTCTTTAGCATTTTAGATACTCAGAGGTGTTTCCGAGTGTTTTAAGTATCTGAAGCATTTTTAGGCATTTCGGGTACCTCTGTCGTGCTTCTATATATCCAATTACTTAGATAAGTTCTGAGCATTCGAGGTATTCAAGCCATTTTAGAACATTCTGAGTACCCAAGATGTATATGGGTATTCAAGGTACTTGGGAAATTTTTACTCATTGAGGAAGCCAGAGACATTTACGGATATTATAAGTATAAAGATATTCTTGTAGACATCTTGAATACTTGAGAGTATCCTGAGCATTTTGATTACTTGAGCATGTTATTGGACATTATGGTACCTATGAGCCTTTATAAGTATTTCATGCATCAGTGGTGCTTTCACACAATTCAGGCAGTAGAGGTGTTTCTCAGCATTTCTAAGTATTGAGGGCATTTCTAAGCATTCAGGTCTCATAGCCATTTTTAGGTGTTCTAGGTCCTCGAGCTTTTAAGTATCCCCAAGAGCTTTTAGGTACCCAGAGGGATATCTGAGCATTATGAGACACCCAGTGCATGCATGGCATTTTAAGTATCCAAACACATTTCTGAGCATTCCAAATATCCATAGGCATTTTAGGGCATTCCAAGTAACCGAAAGCTTTTCTGAGTAATAGAGGAATTTTGCGCATGCCAGGTAGCTAGCCGAATAACTAACTGTTTACCAAACCACAATGCATTTTCAAGCATTCAAGATACCCAGGCATATTTTAACATGCCCCAGTATATTTTTAACAAAATTTAGGAATAAATTTGTCACTTCAAATTCAATTCTATTTTCTCTCTTTGACCCCAAATTTAGTTTTGAATAAAATTCAACACAATGATTGGTAATGGAGGGTAAAATTCAACCCTCAAATTTCTCTCTCCAAAACATGAAGCCTCAAACAAGACAGAAGAAAAATGTTTTCTTCTCTTTCTTCCACTTTCTCTCAATATCCCAAAAAGATACCAAACCCACATAGGCACCTAGTGTTTGAAGCAGGTCGAACTTTTGGGTCGAGTTATTTTGTGGCTAAGGTTTATCATTTTGATGGACAGTAATCAGGTGGCTGCCACGTCATTGCCTTTGGATGATGTGTCAGTGACATGTATGTCTTTGTCAATTTCTATCCAAGTTAACCTAAAAGTTAACTGAGGATCAATTTGAAAAAAAACTAAAACAACAAATCCTTAATTTAAGCATGCAAGGTTAGGAGGGACCAAAATGCAAGGGGAGCGAAATCTTACAAACCAAATTTACAATTTGATAAGAGAAAATATGAATTTCACCAGTAAGATCACACAACTCAACCATCTAAAGAACTAGAACAAAATTCCTAAAATTTAAGCTTAAAGCAGATGCTCTAAAAGCTTTCTACTAGCAATCAACATTTTTCAAGTAAAAAAATAATGAAATATTACCTTTCGCTGACATTGCGCCTCCAGTTGCACACCCCGCAACAACAGTATTTGTCATGTCGTGCTTTGCTCTTGCCTTAAAAGAAACAATTAAGTGTAAGTTTTTTACCAGAAACCATTTACTCAGATGTTAATCTAAATGCAATCTTCACTTTCTAGGTTCTATATGGCACCTTCTCAACAACACACTCAGCGGCTGAGAAAATCAATCCCATAACAGCGAATGCTTTGGCTGAACCCCAACTCCTTCGCCCCATCTGCTTTGCTGTGTAAATAAATTGCTGCTTAGCAGTCATTTCATCTTGCATTATTGGGTTCTCCAATGCACCTAGGAAAAGACCCATGAACAGTCCCAGCCCACCTCCTACAAATAATTCCGCAAAACAATCAAATATCACCAAAAATCACATGACGCCTGAATGTTACCACAATATCAGTGAAGCCATACATCTTATAACAATTATTGAAACTTATTTTAAGCTGAAGCTATCTTGGCTGAAACTTTTTCTTGAAATACTATCTTCGCCGAATTTTTTTTCTTGGCACCCAACAGTTCTTCCTTATGATTAATTAAGAACCAAAAGTGAACATCAAAACGTTGAAAGGTCCAGATCTTGTATCTTTACCTGAGAAACCCAAAATCTCTTCCGGTTAATCTTTACACAGTCATTTACCGACGCATTAATCACTAACAGTTTTTTCTTTTCATTTCTCCTCAGCAAAAAACCACATGAAACCAGGAAAACCAAATTCCTTCGTTGGAATAAATCAAACGCCACTTATTTAGAACTATGAATAAAAGAAAAGGAAACAAGAAAACACAAAGAAAGGAGGTTGCTAACTGACCCATTACTCCGCTAGCCACACTTCGAACAGCACAATTGTTCCAAATATCTTGGGCTCGAATTTCCTCCATGGATGGCATCCGTAAAGGTTCAATACGGGGCTCATTTGAGCTCGAAGATTCATTTGTAGTTTCAGTCCCCGGATTAGCGGAAGCCATTAATAAGAACCCAAACTCCCAAGTGAAAAGGCAATACGTACTATCGACAGTAGCGTGAATGACGGGTTTATCAAACTAAAGGGTTTTGGACTTCAGCAGTAATTGAACTCGGCTCGCATCTGTAGGAACAATGTCAATAACAAAAGCATGATATGAAATATATATTTTAAAATAAAGAAGTTTTAAAACATACGACTTTGAATCTACCTCTAAAACTCGAAAATAACTGCCCTAATAAAGTATATTCCCATCATTCGTCAACCCAAAAATTCTGATCAGCCCCGCACTAATAAATTCTAAACAAGAAAAATCCAATTCAGGAAAATGCTGGCCCCAAGATTACTTGTTTGGTGAAGATTGGAGCTAGACGGAGTTGCTCCTTGGGCAATCTCGGCAATGGAAAGATATTGAGAAAGACGCGCGTGTATGACGCTGTGTGTGATTGGATTGATGGAAAAGATATAAGAATTGGGGGAGAATCAAGAAAGAGCTCTGGCGGCTGACGTGCTCTTTGAAGAAGAATGAACTGGAAAAAAGGAAGAAGGGCGGTGTTTACTGAGAGCCGCCGATGGTGAGGGAGAAGAGAGAGGGTTTTGGTTCGGTGGCGAAGGGTTTTAGGAGAAAGAAATAGTTATTATTTTATTTGACTTACTCTAATTTTCTCTTTTCTTCTTATCAATTTCTAAATTTACATTTGGCTTCTTAATTTTTTTCCAATTATGGTCAGTCAATATATTCCAGTAAAGACCTAAAATACTTAAATATTTCATATATCATTATATAATTTAATATTTTATTTTATTTTATGAATAATATTATTTATCTACCGATATTAAATAAAGATTACATACAGTTAATCAAACATTTCCAAAATTTGTTTTAGAGATTATAGTTTTTTATATTTTAACGAGCATTAATTTTCTAAATTTTTTAAATATCAACATATTTTTCATTAAATATATCACGATGTTTCGCCACGTGGCAAGGAGCCATGGTGCGGATACTTCACGGTTCGCATCCTCAACAACGATGAGGGGTAGAAACCAGAGTGCAGAGAAGAAAGCAGTTGATTCAGATCAGAGATGTCAAAAGAGGGAGAGGTAGTTTGTGTAACGGGGGGAAGTGGCTGTATCGGCTCTTGGCTTGTTCATCTCCTTCTTAACCGTGGTTACTCCGTTCACGCCACAGTCAAAGATCTCAGTTACTTTCCTTCTCGTCACCATTGATGCCACTCTGAAAATCACTCACTCAATTTCTTCTTCTTCTTCTTATGTTGGGTGAAAATTTTCTGTTGCAGAGAATGAGAAAGAAACGAAGCATTTACAGGAACTAGAGGGAGCAGACACGCGTCTCCGTCTCTTCCAGATTGATCTCCTCAACTACGACACCGTTTTTGCCGCAATCGACGGTTGTGCAGGCGTCTTCCACCTTGCTTCTCCCTGCATCGTCGATCAAGTACGGGATCCTCAGGTAGGTTCCTCCGTTCCTCTTCAAATATCTAAATTTTCTTTTTCTTTTATCTAGTGTCTGCGTTTATGTCCGTTCTGCCTCAAATAGTTGCTTTTTTTTCTTGTTAATATTGTGCATTTGCGTACACAGAAGGAACTACTAGATCCGGCTATTAAAGGAACTATTAATGTACTCACGGCAGCGAAGAAAGTTGGTGTTAGTCGCGTCGTGGTGACTTCATCGATATCCGCCATAACGCCGAGCCCCAGCTGGCCAGCTGATAAGGTCAAGGCCGAGGATTGTTGGACTGATGTTGAGTACTGCAAGCAAAATGGAGTAAGTGATAAGTAGCGGGTAATGATTGTAGATTACAATAACGCTTTTCCATTTTGCATAACTCTTATGCTGAGTTTGTTTCATTTCTCCTTCCATTCCTGGTAAATTCCTATTCTAATTATTATGTCAATCTTACTTGAATTTAGAGTTCATTTATTGTCTGAGTCGTGAGCAACCTATTTTGTGTATCATTGAAATTCAACAGTCAACTTGAAAGATTGAAAAAGTTATGCCGTGAATTCAAGTTACGAACATAATCGACAATGCTTTAATTATGCATATTGAGATTAATATGGAAACTAAAACTTTGAATAGACTAGTAAATGAATGGAAAATGAAGCAAAAGCAGCATTAGTTTTTCTTATTTGTTATACATGGTCTTGGGTTATTCTTGTTATCTCACTCTCTCAATCAGTCTCTCTTTTTGTTGTGTGGTTTGCTAGTTATGGTACCCACTTTCTAAAACTCTAGCTGAGAAGGCAGCTTGGGATTTTGCCAAGGAGACGGGCTTGGATGTTGTGGTGGTGAATCCTGGTACTGTGATGGGCCAAGTTATTCCCCCAACACTCAATGCAAGCATGTTGATGCTTTTACGACTTCTCGAGGGTAATGTCATTCACATATTTGCAGATTTTTTAATGTGTGTGTAATTGAAGTGTGCATGCAATTTTGTCTGAAATTATATTTTTATGTGAAGTAGGTTCTCTCAAGCCTATCACTTACTTTGACAACCACCTTTTGAAGCTCATACTGATACTAGTTCATGTCGTTATTTGTATCCTCTACTATTATAATTAGGTTTGTGGCAAGTGTAGTATTTTGATTTCTCTAAAATAGCTTTGTTTCACATTTTTACGCTGATTAAGTGTTACAGGCTTTAGGGTCTTATATCTTCTTAGTTCCAAGCTTGGATAAAAGTGAACATTGTCCAGATGAATCTCTTGCTGCCTTTCTGAGATCCAGCATCTCTATATATAATGATAGAAAGATACATTTACAAACTCTATACCAGACTAACCATCATGGTTATCAAAAGGCGGAGAATTAAAGATGCAAAATTTTCACACATGACAACATTTCACACTTTCAACTCTGTTGTAGATTGTCTATGTTAATCGATTCTTAGCACAACCAGGATCGAAGTAATAGTTCACATGGCCATGCCTAACATAAACCTCCCAATACTCCTGAATAATGGCAACTATAACATTTTGGTCTTCTTTAAAGTGCTCTTTGTTTCATACTTTTTCAGCTTTTTTTAGACTTCACAGTTTTACTTAAACAGGCATCTAATTGGTGTCTGCATTTTGAGAATTTTGAATTTGAGTAGTTTTAAGGATTTTGCAATTGTAAGAGTTCCACTTGTTTCTTATTCTCTTTGGCCTATTAGGCTTATCAATTTTTCTTTTTTTCATGTATTATTATTATTTCATAACATAGAAGGGGCCTTGAATGCAACAAATGCCAATAAGGAGCAATTGAGATGAAATGACATCATTAAATTGTAATAACTGTGTTTAATCTATCTTCAGCCTTAGTGAGTATGGGCTGATCCCTTGCTGCATTTGCTGGATTATAGGGAAATACTATTGACTATCCAGGCAAGATCGTACCTTTTTCTTCTGAATTTTCTTTCTCTAAGTGGCAATTAACAGTTCGAGAAAACTGAAATTCCAAAGTTTTGAATCTTTAAATTGAGAAAGCATGAAGTTTTGGTGTTCTGTTCTTTCTTGTAGGCTGCACTGAAACATATCAGGACTTTTTCATGGGATCTGTGCACTTTAAAGATGTTGCCTTGGCACACATTTTGGTATATGAGAACCCATCAGCAAATGGAAGGCACTTGTGTGTTGAAGCTATTTCTCATTATGGTGACTTTCTGGCCAAAGTTGCCGAACTCTACCCTGGATATAAAGTGCCCAGGTAACGAGTTTGACTCTTAAAATCTGCATAACTTGCTATTATTGGGATACATCTATTAGTACCAGGATTTTACATGCCTCAATCTGCAGCAGAGAAAAAAATGTCTTCCATATGAGAAAAGTTGACTGCCAATAAATGTATATATATATGAAGTATATGAGTCAAGAGTCAAGAGAGTAGAAATACTAAGTTTTACCCATTTAACAACTAAATTTTCTTTCTTAGTGAAGTATTATATCCATTTCCGTAGTCACATTGCTATTGTTATGTGTTGATTTTATCGGCTCCTGATCATTGATTACTTCGATAGCTTGCGGAACTTAAGCCTGTTATGTAGAAATTACTGTTTATACTGATATCCCTTTATTTTTAGATTGCCCAAGGATACTCAACCTGGACTTTTGAGGAGCAAGACTGGAGCTAAGAAACTGATGGATTTGGGTTTACAATTTATTACCATGGAGCAAATGATTAAGGATGGTGTTGAGAGCTTGAGGAGCAAAGGATTTATTTCTTGAAGTATCGGTGTCAGGCTCAGTAGCTCAGCTCTTCACTTCCCCGTTAATTTATAGATTGACTAGAGGTAAGAAGCTTGTTAGAGTTCACAACCTTTGGTAGTTTGAGAAGTTTTTATCTCATTACGTGCAGGTCATAGTTGTAGGTTGTAGTCCTGTAGAAGCAGTGAAACAACAGTGGTGGTGCTGTAACCTACTTAGTCCGGTCTTCCTGGAAGTGCAAGGATTTGTATCTTTAAAAATTCTGGATAGAAGTAACCCTTCTCTGACCATTTATCTTGTCTGTAAATTTCAAAATGCTGATAAGAGTCTTGAAGCTGCTGGATCCATGAGAAATTTTTCAATTGCCTTCTTACTCAGGTAAGAAAAGGCCAATGAATCTGACATCTATGGTTTACTTGTGATAATAAGCACTCATTGTTGTATGAATTTTTATTTTGTTCTCACAATATTTTTAATAAATAAATGCTATAAATATTTTAAAATTTGGACGGGAGATTTTTACTAAAAATGTGCACTTTAAGGTTTATTCTTGTTTTAAAAAGGAGAGGTTTAAAGATATTATTATTTTTAAAAGAAATATTCAAAATATTCTTTTATTTAAGAAAATCCAAACCTGACAAATTAAAGATGAACAAAATTTTAGGGAAAATAAAAAGGAAAAAATCAACATTTTATTTTCCTTTTAATTTAGTTGATTTTTTTCCTTATAACTTTATTTGCTAGGATTTTACTTTTTTTTTTTTTTTTTTTCTGCAAGAATTTTCTGTACTGTATAAATAGAACGATCGATAAACCCACAACTAAACCAACAGACCTACTAAACTTTATCAGCACCCATTAAAAAAAAAAAAAAAAAAAAAAAAACTTGCAAGATGAAGTCTTCGATCACCCTAGTTGTTGTTTTATTTTTTATGATATATGTTTTTCACGTCAGAGTCGAAGGTGTGGGTACTCGTTTATCATCCGGAATCAACACTCAAGATGTCAATCCCGATCAAACTATCATTGTCCGGCGTAAGTACATAGTTTAAATTTTTAGAGGATAGTTTGGAAATATTGTTTGTGCAAATTTTTTGATTATAATTTAATTGGGATTTGACAGCATGTGTTAGCGATTGTAAGATCGGAAGCCAGGCGAGGCCATGTTGCAACTGTGACTTGAACAACAATCATCCAGTCTGCAGGCAGTGTTGTAAATGAACTTGATTTGTCTATCGTCATGCTTTAGTTTTCATATTTTAAATAAACCATTTTAATGGAATTTCTTTTTTTTTTTTTTAATTTTTAAGTCCTTATTTTTTAAACATATATATATATATATATTGATACTTAGCTACAATGAATGAATTCACAAATAATTTAATTGTTTAACATAATAATAATAAAGTGTTGTTGCTGTGTAATTTAATTTACAACAAAAAGAATGCCAATAGATGTTCACTAAAGTTAAAAGAATAATTAAAATTAAAAACAATAGTATATGAAAATACAAAATATAATCAAAATATGATAATTAAAATAGGAGGGAGATTTAAGGAACGAATTTCATAATTATTTAATTTAATATAAATATTATATATTAATTACGATTAAGTTAATAGTAAACTCATAATTTAATAATATTTTAATAATTATATAGTAACCAAATTGGATTTCATACATCCAATTATTTTGTTTTTATACTTTACTCAAGTAGCAATTTTTTATTAAAAAGAATTTTCTCACTTCCCCTCTTTAGAACAAAAAATATGTACATAAAAGTTTACAAGCAATGAAAATGCACTGCATTATTAACCAATCCATTGATAGGAATGCCATATATGTAATTTATTTGTATTTAATTACAAATTCTAAAAAAATTATAAACCATATAAATTTTTTATTACATATTTTTTCATTAGAACTCATTCATCATGTCAAAAATTAAGACATAATAATTGCTTTATAAATTTATTAAAACTTTAAGAGAAAATGATATTAAAGCAACATAGACATAATTTTGCTATTTTCGTAATCAATGGAGCTATAAAAAATAAAGACAAATTCAAAAAAGCAAAGAACATTCCACCAAAAAAACAAAGTGGACCTAGGAAGAATAACCAGAGTAATGATGAAAAATTCATCTTGAATTGCTACTTTTGTAGCAAGAAATGTCATGTGAGGAAGAAATGAATTAAACGTAAGTCTTGATTCAAAAAAAAGGTACAAATCTTTCTTTTGTATGTTATGAATCAAATATTACTGAAGTTCCTACTAATACTTGGTAGATTGATTATGGAGTTATAACTCATATTATTAATTCAATGCAGGGATTCCTTATAACTAAAAAACCAAAAGAAAAGTGAAAAATTTCTCTATATGAAAAATTGTCTCAAATTAGAAGTGATAGTTGTGAGTACTTATCTTTTACTATTAGATACTAGTAATTAAATGGATCTTTAGAACACATTTTATGTACAATCGATTTTTAGAAATTTAATTTCTCTATTTAAATTAGATATTTTTAAATATTTAATTTACTTTACTTATGAAAAATTAAGTTTGGTGTTTAATTCAATGATAGTTGGTTCTGATATCTTATGTGAAGATTTATATAAATTTGTTAGAATTATGAATTTGCACAAGTTTTAGTTATCTTACATTCAAATATTAGTTCAAAACGTTATTTAATCAACAAAAATTATTCATTATTGTGGCATAAAAAGCTAGGGTATATCTTTATGAAAATAATTGAGAGATTAGTTAATGATAGAATTTTACAAAATTTTGACTTCACTGATTTTTAAGTGTAATACCCTTAATTAATTTTAAAATGTTTAAAATTAGTGTGTAAATATAGTTTTTGAATTTTTAAATTTTTTATTTAATGTATAAAATTTAATTTTAAATTTTATAAATTATTAATTAATGTAAAAATGAAGAAAATTAAATGGATGATGAAATTAAAAATAATTTTGAAAAAAAATGGGTGAAACACAATTTAAGAAAATTTGAAATCTAGAGATCGAAACGCAATTTAAGAAAATTGTGTCATGTAGAACGCCCAGTCAACAGACCTGACGAACCGCAGTGCGCCGCGTGACAAAGGACACTGACGCGGTGCCACTCGGGAGGCCACTCTGGCGATCTGCGTGTCTGCGATCGAACGATTCAGATTCGTTCCCACGATCATAGACAGTCCGAATCTATTCCCTCCCTAGACATGATCGGACGGTCAGATTTAAACGTGATGAACGATCCAGATCCACTTCCTATTTAAATGCGATTGGACGATCCAGATTAAATCGCGATGAACGATCCAGATTCACTCCCTATTTAATCGTGATAGGACAATTCAGATCAAACACGATAGACGGTTTAGATTAAAAGAGAACATATATAAATAATCTTCTTCACACCAAACCCTAACCCTAGCCACTAGACCCCCCTGCCAGAGAAGAAGACCCAGCCGCTGAGAAGGAAGTCAATCGTCGCCGCCACCGTGCCGGAGCCACTTCCGACCCCTAAAAGAGGTTAAAAAAAATTTTTTTACTCGAAATTCGATTTTAAACACCTCCATGGCCAAATCGAAGCAAAAGGACTGGCAGATTGGTCAGAAACTGCGGGTAAAGCCAGACGACACTGCCACAGGAAATTACAAAAATTGCCTCCGATAAGGTCCTTTCCGATTCCCATTCTACGTAATTCTTCTACCATTGTAATTATTATTTCCTTTTCTACATGTTAACCAAAGTAAAACACCTAACTGCGAATGTGAGCCGGCGAAGCCGCCGCACCGGAGAAATCCACCGCCGGTAAGTTTCGATTTTTTTATTTTTTGGAGCCAATCGAGACCTCTTAATGTGTTTTCTCACAGGAATTGGTACAAAACCAGCTGAATTCGACCAAAAATGGCCAAAAACAGTCGACTTGAGGCAAACTGCTGCGCTAGAGCATGACAGAGCTGCCATGCCGAAGTTTCAGAATTGGCCAAAAAGGGTTCCTAACACTAATTTTAGATTTTTTGAGATATTTTTAGGTACTTGAAGTGTGTTTTAATCCCCGAAGAAAAATTCAGGGAACCTAGAGGTTGCCAGTAAACGCAGTCAAAAGTTTAGCATTTCAGATATCAATTTTAATAAGAATTACTCGCCTTATTCTCTGTTATGGAACTGAAGTCTAATTAATAATCATAGAGTATTTTGTATAATTTAAAAAATATCCATAATAATTACATGTTACTAATGGAGCTAGAACTGAAAGTTATTCACTATTGATCCTGTTAATTGATTTTATAGTTTTGAATGCATGATAATACCTGATTGATTGATCTTATAGTTTGAATGTATGTATTGCTTACTTTATGTGATTACGATTGAATTGGAAAACTGGAAATTAAAGATAATTGAAAAATTATTTGATTAAGTGAATGGATGAAACAGTAGCCTTACTGGATATCTTGGGAGATGGTGGACGGATCGGGTACATAAGGAACCCTACCATGAACGTTGCCTTATATCGGACGAGGTATCAAGATTTAGTAATTTGGCACTCATACTGGACAGGGTATGATGACGGCCCATTTCACCCTCATACCGGATAGGGTATCGAGATTTATTAATTTAGCACTCATACCGGACTGGGTATGGGGACGACCCATTAATTGAAAATGTTAAAAGAAATGGTTCAAACATTGTGGAGACATCCCTATGGACTCCATGGATACTAGTAGGCTAATAAAAGAGAAAATTGTTGTTCCAACCGATTGCATATAAAATTATGATATGTGTTATGTCATTGCCTCTATAGGTTGTTTTTGTAAATTTTTCTAGGGTAAGTAGATGATAAATTATTTTATTATTTCTACCAACCTTCATTTCTGTGTCGGTGAGTAGCGTGATATTTTTACTGGACTAGTGTAACTCATTATTTTATTAACTATTTCAGATCAGGAGGACCAAGATCCAAAGCCCGACTCACAAGAGGGTTGCGAATAGGATGTTCAGATTGTTTACTTTTAATTTATTTTGTTGGTTATTAATTGTCCTCTTAAAAAGGTTATTCTCGTAGACCTTATTCGGTACTTTCAGTTATTGTGTAAAAAATGTAAACTCTAACTATTTATTTCACTTTCGCACTAAATTTATAATTTATTTCTTTTGAAATTTTCGGGATTGTTATATTAAGTATGTGCAGATTATATATATATATATATATATATATATATATAAAAGCAAACTAAACATATAAAGAAATGCTCCACAAGAAGTAATGAGTTAATTGAGATAATTTATACAGACATTTGCAGAGCATTCTCCATTTCTTATTTCACTTGAGAGAGATATTTTTTTACCTTTATAGATTAACTATCTCGATATGATTATGCATATCTAATGCATGATAAGTCTCAAACCATTGATTTCTT